ATCTCTTGCATTCCTATACACTAATAATGAAAAATCTGAAAGAGAAATTAAGGAAATGCTCCCATTTATCATTGCATCAAAAAGAATAAAATATCTAGGAATAAACCTACCTAAGGAGACAAAAGACCTGTACACAGAAAACTATAAGACACTGATGAAAGAAATTAAAGATAATACCAACAGATGGAGAGATCTACCATGTTCTTGGATTGGAAGAATCAACATTGTGGAAATGACTATACTAGCCAAAGCAATCTACAGATTCAATGCAATCCCTATCAAACTACCAATGGCATTTTTCACAGAACTAGAACAAAAAATTTCACAATTCGTATAGAAACACAAAAGACCCTGAATAGGCATAGCATTCTTGAGAAAGAAAAACAGAGCTGGAGGAATCAGGCTCCTGGACTTCAGACTATACTACAAAGCTATAGTAATCAAGACAGTATGGTACTGGCACAGAAACAGAAATATAGATCAATGGAACAGGATAGAAAGCCCAGAGATAAATGCACGCACATATGATCACCTTATTTTTGATAATGGGGCAAGAATACACAGTGGAAAAAAGTCTCTTCAAGAAATGGTGCTGGGAAAACTGGACAGCTACATGTAAAAGAATGAAATTAGAACACTCCCTAACACAATACACAAAAATAAACTCAAAATGGATTAAAGATCTAAATGTAAGGTCAGAAACTATCAAACTCTTAGAGGAAAACATAGGCAGAACACTCTATGACATAAATCACAGCAAGATCCTTTTTGACCAGCCTCCTAGAGAAATGGAAATAAAAACTAAAATAAACAAATCGGACCTAATGAAACTTAAAAGGTTTTGCATAGCAAAGGAAACCATAAACAATACAAAAAGACAACTCACAGAATGGGAGAAAATATTTGCAAATGAAGCAACTGACAAAGGATTAATCTCCAAAATTTATAAGCAGTTCATGCAGCTCAATAAAAAACACAAACAACCCAATCCAAAAATGGGCAGAAGACCTGAATAGACATTTCTCCAAAGAAGATATACAGATTGCCAACAAACACATGAAAGAATGCTCAACATCACTAATCATCAGAGAAATGCAAATCAAAACTACAATGAGGTATCACCTCACACTGGTCGGAATGGCCATCATCACAAATATCTACAAACAAATGCTGGAGAAGGTGTGGAGAAAAGGGAACCCTTTTGCACTGTTGGTGGGAATGTAAATTTATACAGCCACTATGGAGAACAGTATGGAGGTTCCTTAAAAAACTAAAAATAGAACTTCCATATGACCCAGCAATGCCACTACTGGGCATATACCCTGAGAAAACCATAATTCAAAAAGAGTCATTTACTACAATGTTCATTGCAGCACTATTTACAATAGCCAGGACATGGAAGCAACCTAAGTGTCCATCGACAGGTGATTGGATAAAGAAGATGTGGCACATATATACAATGGAATATTACTCAGCCATATAAAGAAACTAAATTGAGTTTTTTGTAGTGAGGGGGATGGACCTAGAGTCTGTCATACAGAGTGAAGAAAGTCAGAAAGAGAAAAACAAATACCGTATGCTAACACATATATATGGGGAAAAAAAAAAAAGGTTATGAAGAATCTAGGAGCAGGACAGGAATAAAGATGCAGACCTACTAGAGAACGGACTTGAGGACACGGGGAGGGGGAAGGGTAAGCTGGGACAAAGTGAGAGAGCGGCATGGACATATATACACTACCAAATGTAAAACAGATAGCTAGTGGGAAGCAGCCACATAGCAGAGGGAGATCAGCTCGGTGCTTTGTGACCACCTAGAGGGGTGGGATAGGGAGGGGGGGAGGGAGACGCAAGAGGGAAGAGATATGGGAACATATGTATATGTATAGCTGATTCACTTTGTTATACAGCAGGAACTAATACACCATTGTAAAGTAATTATACTCCAATAAAGATGTTTAAAAAATAAATAAAACAAACAGAAAATAAATAAATGTTGTAGTTCTGGGAGGAGAATTTTCTATTTAACTTTAAGAAAAAAAAAAAGACCTAGTGGCAGGACAGGAATAAATATGTAGAAGTAGAGAATGGACTTGAGGACACGGGGAGGGGTAAAGGTAAGCTGGGACGAAGTGAGAGAGTGGCATGGACATATATACACTACCAAATGTAAAACAGATAGCTAGTGGGAAGCAGCCGCATAGCAGAGGGAGATCAGCTCGGTGCTTTGTGACCACCTAGAGGGGTGGGATAGGGAGGGTGGGAGGGAGACACAAGAGGGAAGGGATGTGGGGATATATGCTTATGTATAGGTGGTTCACTTTGTTATACAGCAGAAACTAACACACCATTGTAAAGCAATTACACTCCAATAAAGATGTTTAAAAAGAAACATCTCAAATACTGTAAGGCTGCATCTGCCAGTCCCTGCCCATGGGAGCAAGAAGCTTGTTTTCAGGCCTGATTTTCACCTTTAGGCAAAAGCAACAGCAGAAATGTAAAACTCATAGCAGCAATCTCAAATTTGACAATAAATAACTTGTTTTAAACGGGAAAATATAACCGTATTGTTCGTTAGGTTCTTGATCGGAATGATTTTTGCTTTGCCATCTATGAAGGTGACAGAGACTGACAACATTTTATGTCATGAGTGATTTTGTAGTGCTGCTAATATGTCTTATGATTTAGACTATTATAATATCCTTAATATTTCAAAAATGACTGAGGCTGGCATAGTATTTTTTTTTGTTTTTCGGTATGCGGGCCTCTCACTGCTGTGGCCTCTCCCGTTGCGGAGCACAGGCTCCGGACGCGCAGGCTCAGTGGCCATGGCTCACAGGCCCAGCCGCTCCGCGGCACGTGGGATCCTCCCGGACCAGGGCACGAACCCGTGTCCCCTGTATTGGCAGGCGGACTCTCAACCACTGCGCCACCAGGGAAGCCCTGGCATAGTATTTTTGAACCTTTCCAAATGACGATTTGTAAAACTACATCACATTAAAAATTTAGCCTGATAATTCAAACATCTGCACAATTCCATTCTTCCTCAACATGATATAAATTTTTATTCCATTGTAAAAAGCATAAAAACTCTATGCTTTGAAAACCTGTAAGATTAATAATTTATATCTCCAGTAGCAAAGAAAAATTGAGCCATCCTTATAGAATGGAATGATTTAGTATATGATACTCACCCACCAATAATAGGTCATCCATTCTCTTCCGAGTCATTATGATACAACCTGACAACTGATTTAATTATCGAACACTGTACCTCAGAGAGTCTTCTCCTATGAGAGAAACAAATGGACCCCTCACCCATACCATTTAAATAGCCCACCATCCAATGCAAAATGTACTTTCCTCACCGAAACTAGCAAAAATTAATACTTTAAAAGAAACTAGAAAGATGGGAATGGGGGAGTTGGTGTGTAAGGTCCTACTTGTGTTATCTGAAGTGTAACAATTTTAATATACTGACTTTCGTATTTTGTCGACGATCCTTGTTATTAGCTATGGGCACAGTCACACAAAGTCATATGATGTCATAACAGATGACAGTGTACACGGATTTAAACATTAATTTTTAAAATCATTTGGGGTAGTCTAGATAGACTTACACCTAGTATTTTATTAAATTTATATGCCTGTAAAGTATTCAGAAATGAACCAGCTTCATGGGGCTCAGTACAATAACGCTGTACTGAAGCAGCTTCTTTAAGATGCTGAAAATTAGGCTGTGAATATAACCACCCCAGAGGATGTCAAATAACATCACAATAAACTACACATTAATAGCAAGCTTACATTTTTAGCACCTCATTTTAGGGAGGCTATTAATTAGTAATATGACACTGATTATTTTATTTCCTTTTGTCAAGTCTGCAAATCTACCACATTTTGAGTATTGCATTAAAAAGTCACAGCACCGTACCTTTAAAAATGATAATTGATATTGAAGTTTCAGTTCCCACATTTAAACTACAGCAATATACGAACAACAAAATAGATACACAAAGACTAGGCATATTCATTTGTATACCTGTGTTTCTTATATTTGGTTTCTGACTGTATTTTAACTTTTTTTCCTCTCCCAGTCATATTCTATTAATTTTGGTCATAGTTAATATAGATGAGTAGTACAATGGCATCTTTAAATTGTTTTTAAAGATCATTTATTAACTTGATGTCGCAATTTACCCCAATGTGACCTCTAGTTGCTTGGCTTGGGTATTATTCCATATATATGAAAATGTGATGGAGCTCCTTTGTCAAGAATTATATAATTTTAATGAAGAGACAAAAATATCCCTCACCCAAAGCACTGACCTAAATTAGACATCAATTTTCCAGACACTCATACAGTCTCTTTAATTATATTCTAGTCATTAAAATGGTACCATATTGCCTAGAAGTGCAGAGAATTCCATTTGGTTCCCCAATGAGAGACTTTACACAAATCTTCTCCCCAAATATATGCAACACCACACAAACTACAGCAACAAGTAAAGTTAATTTGACTAAATATTTAGGTTTTACATTCACACTAATATTGAGATACAGCTATAGATTCCAGAAAGACCCCTCCCCATCTCTCAAAGACCAGATAAGACTAATAATTGTGTTACACAAGACTCATCTTCCACTGAAGATACCCAGCAAACTTGGGGTCCATTTCAAAGTCTGTCATATTTTTCCCAGAACACATTTCCTCGGGATATATTGATTTACCTGGACTGGGCGAGAGGGTCATGGAAGGAAATTTCTATTGCCCCACAACTATCATTTTGGTTAATAAGAACTGCTCGTGTTGAAGACATATTTAAAAGGAAATCGGAATCGAGTTCCTCTAAGGAAGAGATAATCTTATTAACTCAAGTATTCATTTGTTAAACAAATATTAATTTTTGGGTTAAGCATAAAATTTTATGGAGAAGGGACAGAGAGATAAGGAAATCTTTCAAACGCATATACTTTGCCTGCAGGAATGCACTTATTACCTGCTGTGATGTCACTGGGTAATTTCCCTGGACGGTAGAGATTCACCTTAAGTCTTCCATCATTAAGAAAGAGGAGGAGACCCCCTGAAACCAGCTGAAGCTCACTGAATAGCAGTAGCCCCTCCTTATTCCAGGTTCGAAATTGAAAAGTGGCAGAAACTTCGTCCTCCCCGGAAGAGCCCAGCAGTGCTAAGTAACTCCTGGGGCTCAGAAAAGTCACAGGCACAGACTGTGGTTCTGAACAAGAAAACAACACATTTCCCTGAGAATAAAGTAAAAGAAAAGGCTTTAAGAATGACACTCACATCACCTTAGTGATAAAATCTGAAATACAGAGGCTGTTTATCAATCTCTAATTACCCCGATTTAAAACAACAACAAAAATTGCTATCAACGTGAATATTCAAATCCTTGCCATATGTCTTAAAGGTTCTTCAAATCCAGGGATACATGGTCAGGCAAATCTTTCCCTGCGTTTTCTGGGTGAAATTATTTCCTCCCCATCTCTCAGTTCACACAGGCATCTAACTCAATGCAATTGAATTCAATAAAAAATTTATTTAAAACAACTCTTTTTTTATGTTTTACTTGGTTTTCTCTTCCCACTTATTTCACCCTTTTGCTGCCTTTGGCTTCTAACCCACCCCTTAACATAACCAACATTAATGAGCTACTGGTTTTCCTTCCATGTTTTTTCATAATTCTCTCTGTTTCCATTGACATATACAAATACATATATACACATATATATGTATATACATGTTTAAGTTATGTGTTCACTTATATGTACATTCATGTACACCTAAATGTGTTTTGAATACATATACCTACACACTAGGCATTATTTGTTTTATTAAAATAGGAGCCATGTTTTATGCTGTTTACTGTATCATGATTTTATCATTAACAAATAACTTACGGAAATCCCTTTGAGTTATCTGGCAGAAGCCTAATTCCTACTTTTATTGATTGCGTAATATTTTACTACGTGAATGTTCCAATTTTAGTCAACTGTTTCCTTGTTAATGTATATTCACTTTGTTTCCAGGTTTTGCCTCTCTGAACAATGCAAGAATAAAGAACTCTGCATGCTTCTCTATGTGCTGGTATTTGCAGTTCTGCAGAAGAGGGTTCTAAATAAAGAACTATTGTATCTACATGTTTTAATAAATATTTCCAGCTTCTTCTCTGCCCACCAAAAAAAGTCAAATTCTCCACATTTCCAACAGTAGTATACAAAGGTATGCTTTTCCTACATCCTTGACAAAGATATGCTTTTCCCCACATCCTTGACAGCAATAGGTATTACATATCTTTTAAATTTGCATAAGTTCAACAACAAAATACCAGAGTGATGTATCATTCTTATTTCTCTTGCATTTACCTAACAGTATATCTAAGCATTTTTCATGAGTTTGTTGCTCTTCTGGACTCGCTTTCCTCAGAACGGTCTGTTCATACCCTCTGCCTATTTTTCATTTTATTAGGTTTAACATTGCATAATACAATGTAGTACTTACATTCTTTTTTGAACCATTTTTGTCTTTTTCTTATCATTATGTGCTTGTCATCAGATTTACATGTATTATTTCTTATCTAATGGTTTTTAGGTAGATCTTCAAGATACATTAGAATTGCATGAATTTTCATTAAAATATTGTACATGAAGGATTATTTTGCTATTAGAGTTAAATACATATTTAAGGATTAAAAAAAAAAACATAAAGGTCCGAACTATTTAGAAATAATTAGAATGTTCCTTAACAGGCTTCAGAAATCAACATAAATGTTTTTATTTTACCCGAAAATAATCTTCAACAAATTTTCTAAATATAGATTTGAAAAGTCAATGAAATCACTTTATTTAGAAGAATACACATTGGAATTAAACTACTAGCCTTGGTTAAACAAAAACATTTGGCTATACTGTGATTCTGTTAAAAGTGAATTAGCTTTCACTGCAGACAAATACCTTGCCCCAGTGAATGAAGTAACAAAAGCAGAAGAGTGAAATAAACTGACCCATAATGTAAAGGCAACTATAAGACTAACAAACCTGGTAAAAATGGAAACATTTACCAGCTGCATTTGGACAGCTGTCTGCTACTCTACAAGCAGCAAATCCTCTTGGCAATGAAGAGTGGGTGCTAGCTGCACGAGCAGCTTCTGGAAACTCATTTTGCAATGAAACACTCACGTCTATCTCTCTATAATATTTTTATTTTCCATTTAAATTCTTTTCCCTTTTTAAAAAAAAAACTATTTAAAAATCTTGCTGGATGGTGTACTCATATAAATACTATCAATTCACACAGAGAATTAAGAATAAAATGTTTTGTAAGCAATAAATAATCCCATGATGTGGTTTGGGTTTTGCTGACACAACATGAGCTTACATTTACATATTCTGAATTTTGAACAATTAAAGAAATGTATTCAAATGGATAGATGTGTCTGCTTTTCTGTCATTAAGCTGGTTAAGCTAGAAACCACGTTTCACAGAATCTCTTTTCTTGTCTTGCTCTGGTTAAAAGTTAGCCAAAAAGGGAGCTTGCATGATATGAGTCAGAAGTGAAAGGCTGGCCGTTTTCCCCCCAAAGGTTTTCTGTGTGTGATAAAGCCCAGTGAGGGAGGATCACAGAGGGGCTGGTTTATTCCAGCTTGTCCTGGCTTTCACTCTGCTCCATCTCTTCCTCCAGACAGCTGGGCTCCACTTTCCAGCGCCTCTGATGATTGTTAAGATCCAAGTCCTAAAATAGACCCTTGTTCCTAAACTCACAGTGGTGCTGCTTCCCTGACTGAACCCTGACCGATAACAGTTGTATTTAAATTCTGCTGCATTTCCATAGAATTAGAGTATAATGCAGCCTGACCAGCACTGCTCTTGGGACAGACTGGCAGATGCAATCTTGTAAAAGTCTATTAGTTTCTTTTATTGGTTATAAATGACCATGGCAAAATACAAATTTTTCAAATGCTTCTCTAATATAGATGGATGTTATCTGACTCCAGGAACTTGGTATGCTTCCTCAGAGAGTGGGTCAGGGAGTATCTTATAAAGGAAATTACAGAGTAAGAGAAATTAGTCTCCTGGGAGTAATAATATCACAACAAAATAAATTATCAGTTGCACCAAAAAAAGGCCTGCTTTACTTCATATAAATATAAAACAATCATGCCCTATGAATTTTAAATTTTTAACATAGAATTCATCCCTTACATGCATATTGCCAAGCAGAGAAATGTTTTTAAGGAACAAGAGTAAAGTCTAAAACATCACATCAAGTGGGAATTCAGAATGAAGCAATTGTTTTGTGTGGAAAAGCCACGCAGTTGTCCTCATTTGTTCACATGAAGACTCAAGTCTTACCATAATGATGATCTGTGGGTTCTGTTGCTTGGCCAAATCAATAACATCCACTCCATTATAATAGAGATTTTCTAAACACCCATGAAAATGTTTATGGGGGAATGACGCTGATTTTCCAGGTGCTGGAATCCCTCCAAAGCTGATCTTAGAAAGAAAAATGGCATCAATAATATTGTTTAGTGATTTTTTGATAATCTGCTTAAATAATTACGATTAGCAACTATAGCTGTAATCATCACAGATAGACCGATTTTTCAGTACCCTACACTGCCATATTTTTAATTTCAAATGGAGATTAAAAAAAATTAAGATGCATATCTTGAAACAAATTTATATGCATTCAGTTTGCACTTACACAAGAGCTTGATTATTTTTACAAGTTGCTCATCACACCTGATTTCAATATTTTTTGGTTGCTGAAGAACAATACATCTTTATATCCATGGTAAACCTTGACAACTTTAACAATGTTACCAATTACAATGACATTTTGTTTCATATATATTTCTGGCACACATTGATATTTGTGCATTTGAACTGATTATTAATGAATCAATTAATCTATTTATTGCTACATTCTCTCCATAAATCTGCACTGTTCAGGAGTGCCCTTTACCCGCCCCTACCACCACCAATCATGCAACACATTCTGCATTTACTTGTAATGAGATCTCTTCAAGAACATTTCCTACATGTGGCAATTTGTAACTACACATTGCAGGCAAAAAAGATGACATTTCTTTGTAATAATAAATTAACGTACTGGGAGAAAGATGGAGCCTCAGTAGTATATGCACAAAATTTGCTACTTGAGTTAGGTCACCTAGAGGAACACTTCATCAGAACCTTGACTGACTCTGAACGTAGGTTTTCTATAGTGTATTTTCTTTCATGTGGCTATACCACATATATATTACAAAGTCTGCATTAATTGAAACGTAACCATCACACCTCATAATCGAGATGTAGGTAACTGAACTCTCCCTGGGCGTGGAAACGATGTCTGTGCTCATCCACTGTAAAGTTGACTTGTTTGCCCAAGCGTTGGATGAGCACGGAATGCCAGTGCTGGTCGTCCAGCAGGCTGCCCAGGGTGAGACTGATCGGGCCGTGAGTGGAGGGCAGCTTAGCTTCACCTTAGAAGAGAAAAAAATAACAGCACCATTATTCTCAGTTTAAAAAAAAGAAAAAAAAGTTCCTTTTGGGGGCACCAGAGTCTCTCATGATAATTGCAATCTCTTTCCATCCACTCCATCCAAAATGCTAGTCTGAATTTACCTCAAGTTTGAATATAAAATGCTCTCAACCTTGTTGTAATTTCTTCCTCTGTTAATTCTCTTTATTAGCATTACCCACCATCACACACTCATTTTCAATATAAATTTTATCTTTGCTACAACCTCACTATTTTTACTACGTCGGTATTTTTCAATGACCCATCCCTTTCATCATGATGTTTGAAAATAGCTAAGTGGTTCTGTCAGCACTATGACATTGAAAGAGGGTCTTGTACAATTTGCAAATAGGAACGATTTTTACGTGCAAGTACAATATGGGCGTGTATATATATGTGTGTGATATATATATGTGTGATATATATATATATATATATATATATCACATACATACACAAACACTTGAATGTGGAAATACGGCACCTTAATTGTTAAAAAAAGATAAGCTATAAAAGCATAAGGTTACTAAGGCGATGTCTAAATGACCAGAGATTTTCCAAGCACTTTACCCAAATAGTTTTACCTGAATTAATAACTAAAAAGAGTTTTCCTCCTCTTAACTCCAGTGTGATGTGATCTCCATTTTGCCCTTGCCGGTGGAGTAGAATCCCATCGCTCTGCATAGTTTTAAATTTCAAAGAAATTATATCCTTTATTGGGCTCAGGGATTTTTGATCAAATCTGTAGAGAAGGCAACTTTTCCCATCAAGATCAACCACCTCTGATCCTAGACAAAGATATTAAAAGTCATTCTAAGGATAAATATGCTTTTCATTAAAGCATTTTAAAAGTATATGTATAGAAAGAGCATTATACTTGTACCCATACATGTATAGTTCAGCTCCAACCCAATCAAAATAATGGAAAATAAAACCACCAAATGTCTAATTCCTTCTAATTCCTGGGATTGATTCCATTTTAGTCTTTATTCACCTATTTACAAAATTCATGATCTAGAAATACATTTTGAAATGTATTCCTAATTTTCTCTTATATTATTAAAGGCTGTTTCTCATTCCATAATAAATTAGGGAAAAGGTTATAATCAATACCCATAAAACCACTTTGCATATTTCATGATCAATATATTTAATGACATTCTTGAAATATTGAAGTTAAATGGTTTTTTACCTTCTGAAAAAGTAGTTTTGAAATCTCAAAATTCTTTCTATATGGCATATATAAAAGAGATCGACACACAAATACAAACACATACATCGGACTCATCAATGCCACCTCAAGTATACATTAAACTGACCTTTGTGTTTTGTTTTATTTTATTATTTTTGTGGCTAAGTAATAGTATTTAAGAGCAATGCTATTTTCTGTCTTCTCAAGGGCACTATTGGAAAGATATTCACTTAATGACATTATAAGGGCTGTTCTGCTGCATTTGTGTCATAACTGTGACATTGACAGGTTTTTTCAGCTTTCTGACAGTGTCTTATCTACTCATTGTCAAGATCACTTTTATTCAGTTCATCTGATAAAAGATGTCATGTTATACCAGTAACATAACAGTACATCTGTCAAAATCAGTTGCACCCTGAGCAAAGAACTGATAATACTCAGAAAGCCTTGCAGTGTTTCCTACATTTCACAAGTCGAAGATTTTTTTTTTTTAAGGCAATTACCCTTGAGAGTGCATTTATGTAATAAATGAAGAGGTTAGGGAAACCCAATAAAATAGGAAGCTATTTTTCAAGTGGTTAGGTGACTTCTCCCAGTCAACAAAACGACATTACAGTTCACTCATCTTGTTTCATTCGACAAAATTATTACATCAACTTGTATGTCCAAATATGCATTTCTTTCAGATTATCCATCATATGTAATGGGAACCATTTATATTCACCACCGCCCCAAATTTTTTCCAACTATTTTATGCAGCTATCTTTTGGAAATTCAGAGGTTTGATTTTTCCACATCTTGTTAATGTGCTTATAAAAGAATTCATTCACCAAGTGCACATGAATAAACATTGCATTCTGTAGAAAGAATAATGTTAACTGAATAATTACTCCTTGTTATATAGCTGAATGAATGTGCATGGCAAAAACATAACTCTGTGACAAATACAAATAATGTGTTCTATGATAATTAGATTACAACAAATTAAGAAAAATTCCAATAAGACAGACTTTAAGTGCTGACACATTTGGAGCCATGCAGTTATCTCTGAGTTAATGCATTGCTTAAAGGCAACCATCATTATCATGATTTTATTTCAGATAAAGTCTATTTTTGGAATTAGCTACCAAGAGAATTTTTTCCCCAATGAACGTCTAGCCTGTGATACTTCAGCCTTCTATTTCTTTTTTTCTCTCTTCTTCACTATTGTTGCTATTACATTATAATGGTCATATCAGCCTTTCATGGCACCAAGAGCTTTGTGCCTGGAATATCTTCATCAGCAAAATGGGATAGTGAGAGACATATTAGACTACTGATGCCTAAAGCAATGGTATACTACTTCATCTCTTAAATGGAAGCCACTTGGCATTTTCTCTCTTACCTATTATGTTCTTACTTCACAGGTATCACACTAAGTAGTTGGGTCCATTCATTCAATAAATATTTATTTAGCCCATCCAGTCTGAGGCCCTGTGATGGATGCTGAGATAAAAGAGGGATCAACACCAACATGGCCCTTGTCCTCATGGAACTTACATTCAGTGAAGACGGACAACAAGTAGCAAGTAAAAAAGTAAGTTCACATTCCCACCAGCAGTGCAGGAGGGTTCCCCTTTCTCCACACCCTCTCCAGCATTTATTGTTTCTAGATTTTTTGATGATGGCTATTCTGACCGGTGTGAGATGATATCTCATTGTAGTTTAGATTTGCATTTCTCTAATGATGAATGATGTTGAGCGTTCTTTCATGTGTTTGTTGGCAATCTGTATATTTTCTTTGGAGAAATGTCTATTTAGGTCTTCTGCCCATTTTTGGATTGGGTTGTTTGTTTTTTTGTTATTGAGTTGCATGAGCTGCTTATAAATTTTGGAGATTAATCCTTTGTCAGTTGCTGGTACAGCCACTATGGAGAACAGTATGGAGGTTCCTTAAAAAACTACACATAGAACTACCATATGACCCAGCAATGCCACTACTGGGCATATACCCTGAGAAAACCATAATTCAAAAAGAGTCATGTACCAAAATGTTCATTGCAGCTCTATTTACAATAGCCAGGAGATGGAAACAACCTAAGTGTCCATGATCGGATGAATGGATAAAGAAGATGTGGCACATATATACAATGGAATATTACTCAGCCACAAAAAGAAACAAAATTGAGTTATTTGTAGTGAGGTGGATGGACCTAGAGTCTGTCATACAGAGTGAAGTAAGTCAGAAAGAGAAAGACAAATACCGTATGCTAACACATATATATGGAATCTAAGAAAAAAAAATGTCATGAAGAACCTAGGGGTAAGACGGGAATAAAGACACAGACCTACTAGAGAATGGACTTGAGGATATGGGGAGGGGAAGGGTAAGCTGTGACAAAGCAAGAGAGAGGCATGGACATATATACACTACCAAACGTAAGCTAGATAGCTAGTGGGAAGCAGCCGCATAGCACAGGGAGATCAGCTCGGTGCTTTGTGACCACCTGGATGGGTGGGATAGGGAGGGTGGGAGGGAGGGAGACGCAAGAGGGAAGAGATATGGGAACATATGTATAAGTATAACTGATTCACTTTGTTATGAAGCAGAAACTAATACACCATTGTAAAGCAATTATACTCTAATAAAGATGTAAAAAATAAATTAATTAAAATTTTTTAAAAAAGTAAGTTCATAAACCATTACAGACCATAACAGGCATTCTGATCAAGATTAAAAGAAGCCTGGGGTCACTTTAATTAAGGTAGTTGGGAAAGCTCAGTTCTCAGGTCTAGAAACCTGATGCTAAAGCAGATGGTAATCAATCACCTTCTTACTCTTGTCAGTCTTCAAGTCCTAAATTTGTCCCCATAAAATAATTACTCTTATGCTTAATTTTAAGATGGCTAGACATTCTCCCAACACATTCTCTCATTCATTATCATGAAAGGAAGCTCTGAGGATGCTGAGAAACTCCAGTGGCAGTCAGTAACTCAGCTCTCAGATTTCACATGCAATGTGAACAATACCCTTCGGGGAAAAAAGCTAAATATAATTCAGAATGTAAGTACAATGTCAGTACGGGGAAACTTCAAGTTATATCCGTGTAATATATGTACAAGAATTCCCATAAAACAAAGGAATTCAGGATGCTCCCTATCAGTATTACTTTAGATAGAAAACTCACTTATAAACGCTATTTACAGAACTTATCTGATATATAAAAAGCATGCGATTTTAAACAATCATCATAAAACGTTGTGCTATGATACATACAGTTAACGATATAAAAATCTGGAACTATCTGAAAAAAAATAATCTTTTGAGAGACAGAGGGAGAGAGAGGAAGAGAGTATCTGAATTTTCTCCAAGGATGCTGGTGGGAGAGACAGGTCTCTCTTGGAACTGATATTACCACTGTTAAGAAAATTGAAAAAGCTGGAAAATAAATCAAAGGAATAACTTCATGTCCTCTCAATGTCATGCTGGAGCTTTTTAAAAGAAGCCCGTCTAATTAATTCTAGGTGAATTCACAAATATCTTATTTTACTATTTATTACTGATGAGGGCCAGTCTCTAAGTTACATGTTAATTTATAGTTTTGTTTTGTTTTGTTTTCCCAGTAGAGATGCAAATAACTTGCGTCAGATAGAAAATATATCCCCAAAGGTTATGGTTTTATTGCCCTGTTGGACATTAAACATTTGTGTACTTAACCTAGTGATAGTAATTCAACATTCTTTTTTCCAGCTTTTAGGAACCACTTGCATTCTTGGCCTATGGCCCCTTCCTTCTTGTATAGGACCAGCATCATAGCATCTTCAAATTTCTCTCTTTCTCATTCTCTCTCATGTTTGCATTCACAGTCACATCTCCTTCTCTAACTCTGATCCTGTCACCTCTCTTTTATAAGGATCCCTGTGACTACACTGGGTCCACCTGGATAATCCAGGATAATGTCCCCAACTCAAGACCCGTAACTTAATCACAACTGTAAAGTACCTTTGTCATATAATGTAACATATTTACGGTTACAGAGCATTATCATATCACAGCAAGTTACCTGCTCTCTTTGTCCCTGTTCCTTCATCTGTAACATGGGAATAATAGTACATTCTTTCTTTAAGTGAAGTATAGGTGATTTACAATATTTTGTTAATAACAGTATATTCTTCATAGGTCTGTTGTATGAATGCATATCTACACAATTTTTGGAAGTTGCTAGCATATAATTAGAATTCAATAAATTGTCAACTACTATTAATACTATTACTTATTAGAACACTGGGCAGGGAAAGAGGGATAGCAAAAATAGTTTAATAAATACATTTGGTGTGTTTATTTTTTAAAAGTGGACTCTAAAAAATAATGAATTTCTGAAGTGCACAAGAAATGCTCAATTACCAATGTCATTGCCAGGTTATGCAGCAATAATGATTTTGAGCCATCTGTGGGTTCTGTGGCTTTTTCTCTGTCTGTCAGCAAATGCCTGAGCTGACTCACCATGGCAATTGTCGGTGACCTGAATCCTCCTCAGTGAATACCTCCATCTCAGATCTTCTCATTTAGAGCAGGAAGCAAGGAAAGAGGTGGCTCACAAAAACTGCAGGCCCTAC